TGTAGGCAGACATCCAAATGTGTGGTTAGTCGCATAAGGGAGATGAACTGTCTGAAAGATGAACTGCACAGAAATAATTTTCAGGTGGTTTGGTTTTCTTTTTGTGTGCAGCAATATGGGTCTTGCCATCCCTGTGAGGGAGATGGCAGGAGTGGTGTGGAGAGCTTGGGGAGTGTGTTGGTGTTGCTACTTTTGGGAGCAAAGTGGACTTCAGCTGGATGAAGCCAAATGTTAAGATTCAAGGTGACAATTTAGAGCTACCACAGGATCATTCTGGCTTTGGTCTATTTTTTTAATTAAAACTCTTCTGTGGTACAGCCATCATGGTGTATATGATTGGAACCATTGTGATAACTTTCTTACATAGAATATTCACATCACTGTAATTTTCTCTGTTACATTAGGATTTTGTGTTGGTTGAGGAAGGAGAAGGCAGGGAGTTCACCTCAAATAGGGAGGATGTTGCAATGGGTTTAGTAGGCAGTATGTCTTGTTCTCAGGAACTGTTGATGGCTATTTTGCTAACATTTGTCCCTTTCTCTTCCCCAGCCCACAATTATAAAATGTGGTTTCAAGTGAAAATTACAAAACTCTGTTTTCAGGCCGTTTGACTGTTCTTTCTGTTGTGCAAGCCTACATGAAGTTGCACAGAGTATCAGTGGGACTGGGACACTGAGTACATTTGACACTGTGTTTCTTCGTAGACTACCTAAGGCTTCTAGGTAGTGTTGTGGTTACTGTTTAGAATTTCTGTTTCTTAATAAGTAATCAGATAATAAGTGGTTTCTTTCTTCCGGATATCCTGTGCTGTAAAGGCGTTCAAAGAAATCGGAACCAAAATTAAAACTTGCGTTGTCTCAGAGTGCTGCATCATCTAGTTTATATTGACAGTATTTTGGGGAAAGTGTACAGTATTTTGGAAGGTGTTCTGAAAGACTTGGCACTGAAGCTAAGGAAACCTATGAAATGATTGTGATCCCTAGCCAGATTTTTTGGTCTCATTATCGATGCTTCTGTTGGACATCTGTGAACTTAAGTGTTTTCTTATTAATTCTGAAACACAAGCATTTCTGTTCTACAGACTATTCCCATGGGTGAGAATTTAGGTTGCGTTAAAACCTCTGTTCCAGCTATAATATTTTGATGAGGAGGAACTCCTGTTCATTGTGGAAAGTACTACACGTTTGTTCATCCCACAGATAATCAAGGGGATTGGCCAAGTCAACTGTTTTGTGCTAGTTCTTTCAGACTGAGGCTAGGGGAGATGGGCTAAAGAGGAATATCAGGTTTCTAAGGTGTACCTCTAATTAAAAAAAAAACCAAACAAACAACAAACCTTCTGAACAGCTCAAACCAAAAAAAAAACCCCCAGAAAACATTGAGTGAGTTCAAGGTAAGCTAACAGGTACAGGGAATAGAACAGTAACAGTACGGTTGAACATCTCAGTCCATAAGGCTGAAGATGCTGCTTCTCTTCATACCTTCTCACGTGGTAAACTTGCAGCAGTCTGTTTATATTAAGGTTTGAGTCTATCTGCTCTGGCCTCACATCTATTAAAAGCATTAAGTAGTTGAAAAAATGCAGTTATGTTCTTGGGAGGGCTGGTTTCATGCAGATCTATTTCATTAGAGAAAAAGCAATCTCACATTAAAGTAAGAGACATTCTGATAGGAAATAGTGTGTAAGGATCAATATAGTTGTAACCCAAGCATAATTATCAAGTACATGAGAAATAAATATGCTTTGGGGAAAACAGTTAATTCTCCAATTCTCTCTTCCATGCTGTTGTTCCCTCCTACCCCTTCCCCCCAAAAAAAGGGAATGAGAATTTTTCAGACAAAAGTAATCACATTTCATTGCAATTCCTAATTATAAAGTGATAAGGCAGTGGCTGGTGGTACAGGGTACTCTGTTAGATTGGTGGTGTGATATAGTAGCAGCAATCACTGTAATTCAATTTGGAGCTTGTTTTGGGTAGTATGTTGCACAGCAGAATACTTGAGGCTGAGGTAGCTGCGGGTATTAGTGAGATGGAGCTCTCACAGCTTGAAACAGAGATAGCTGACTGACTTAGGTTTTGTTGTTACATGTTCTTGTGTGGAAATGTGTTTTTCTGAAAGATATTTGTGGTCAGCTATGTAGTTAAGCAAGTTAACTGTTGGCACAGTGGTGGTGGTGGTGAACCAGCAGCAATACTTGAGAGAATGTTTCGGTATGGAGAGTATTTGGAGCACTAGAATGAGGTTGTGTTTTACTCCGTGGCTAAAACATGGGTAGCGAATCACTGCACTACGTATTGCAAATTTAACTAAGGATTCTAGGTCAGGTCCTGATTGTCTTGATGCATTCGTTGTGATTCTGGTGCTGAATTATTCTGCAGAGTCATGCAGAATGAAAATACAAGCACTTAGGTCTATTTCAAAGGTGATAAAGATTTGAATGTTAGTCCAAATAGCTGCGTAGCTGCATTTTGTGTATTCCCATGCTGCTTGTTTGGAATAAGTGAAGTTGGGGTTAGTAGGTAAAGGGTGAGGTTGAGGGTAATGCTGCTGCTTATTCTGTAGCAAATATTATTTGTGCTGAAGATGTGAAAATTCTGTGCGTGCTAACAGAGATCTGATTTTTATTACAGCAATGTTTAAGAAGTGTTAATAACTTATGTGAGAGGGCTGTGAGACCAAAAAGAGAGTTTATTATTTTATTTATAAGCATATCTTCTGTGCATTTCTTTTGAAGAACAGTGCAGAATTGCTGTTGCAGAAAGCCTAATAGGGTGAGGAAGGAAAACAGCTAGAATTTCAGCTAGGTGGAACTGGCAGAAGGAAAAAAACCTGTGCTTTTTATATCCTGTTTGACATCGCAGTTTCGGCATAAAATTCTAAAATTCCTGTTTGTAGAGTCCAGTTTTCACTTTCATTTAGAGCTGTGTGAATTTTAAATACTTGTGCATCTGTTATTTTTTCCTTTTGCTTTACTTTCTCCTCTTTGAATCAGAGATTGATATCAAAACAAATTTCTGTCACTATTGAGTTGTCATGAGTTTTTCTGTTTCTGACAAAGCTTGTGAAGTGTCCATTAAAACAACAAAAATATTTCTCTTTGGTTTTTTTTCAAGTCACAGAAATCTGACTTGAAAGTAGTCTGACAGGGGCTTTTTTGTGAGTGCGTTATTTTAGTAGGAGGACACAGGTTGTAGGTACATTTTTGTTGGTTCTAGCTTCTTTTACAGTCTGTCGATGGGAGAATTGCCTCCTGGTAGGCTGTACGTTAGAACAATCTGAATAATTGTAGCTTTCAAGCCACTTTTTGTCATTTAATATGTTAAATAAACTTCCCTTGTTCTGTCTTGAGTTGTTGCTACCACATTGTGGTTATCTTTTCTGCAATCTTTTTTTTTTCCATTTTTCAAAAGGGAGGAATTGGGTCTGAGGTGAATTTCTGCTACACATTTTATTAACCTGTGACTTCCACTGTAATCCTAATAGTCACACATACAAATTAGCATTGGAAGGAGTTTCCTAGAGAGGCAGTTGAAGGCCTAAGCCTGTGGGTGTTCGGGACATTTGGACAACGCCCTTAGCACTGTGCTTAAACCTTTGGTCAGCCCCGAAGTGCTCAGGCACTTGGACTAGATGGTGGTTGTAGTTCCCTTTCAACAGCACCTATTGTATCAATACTGTTAAAAGATTTTGTTTTTGTTCTGATGGAGAAATTCTTTCACCTGAAAACTTATTTAATAGCCTGTTTTTAATAAGTTTCACCTTTTAAAAGAAAAAAGGAAAGAAATCACTCCAAATAAAACCTGTACTGAGAGTTTTCTTTC